TGTTGAATCGCTGAAGATTAGCATCCCCCGTGCTTCATTCATGACTATTTAAGTGTAATTAAAATGAATCTACGATCAGGACATTATCAAAGTAGGTTTGTAAAGACAACTGTTGAGTCCATATGTCAGGACGAAGTGCCACTGGATTTCGAGCAGTGGATTGATCGCAGTAACAATGCCACTACGTAAATGCATGAAAAAGGGCTATTGCATGTTACACGGAGCCGCCGAATGCAAAACCACCAAACGCATGTGAACCTGAGCGACTTTAAGTCACAACGCTCCGCAGTACTATCCAACGTTCGTGCCTCAGCCGAGCCGACAATTGGGTGACCAAGGTGGTCAAGAGTTCGTACGTTCCAAAATCTACGGGCAGGTTGACTGGACAAGTACTAAGGTTATTTTCGCTATCATAACAAGCTGCGTTGACGGTGCGGCTACTGTGCAACCTGTACCTCACTGCCGCTGCATTTAGGCCAAATTTGCACACAGAGCATGCGTTGTACGCTTGATGTTCATTTCCACTTACTATGTTAGGCCTGGTTACCCCTGATTCAAATGTAGATGGGGTGAAACCAGCACGAGAACTGGCTCCGGGCGACGAATCACTGCTGACGAAAATGTGGTGCACAGTCTTATTGATTGTGCTCGGTTTTCAATGTGCTTGCATCATGTTACCAGCTATGGCCCGGTAACCGCAATGTGTACTTATGCTATGCCGGTTTTCCAGATATCCATCAGCCAGTCGTATGTTGGGGGGAATGTGGCCAGGTTCCCAATCAGTCGTGGCATCCATATAAACACTTCAATGTTCCAGTTCTTCTGGTTTATGCATATTCGGTTTGTGCGGAGTAAGCTATGGATCGGATAGATCATGCTACTGGCACAAGTTTGCTGGAAATGTTCAAAACTATGGCGATAGGCAATTATATCTACGTGCCTTGCTAACCACTACTACCGGTCTGCACTAAATTTTAATGGGACCAACTGTATATCAAGAGCCGAACGTTCTAACTTGAAAAGCTATAGAGTTGAAGGTTGCTCCAAGGGTAACAAGTATAAACCTGAAGAGAATCAAACCCCGATATTTCCGGTTAAAATTAAGCAACGCAAGATATATGGTGCGAAGGAGGGGTTCCCGTGATGCTCCATTTCACGGCTGACACCCCAACCAAAGCTGAGGTTCATGGAGCACTTGATGCTGTGCCATACTCCCTTGCCACATCACAACATGATGAGTACTTTCACTAAGTATCTTGAAATAGTATTCCAGTTCGTCCATGTTCGGTTAGCAGATACCGATTCTGGCAACAAAAAGTGGAACCACTCTTGACAACGAGACTGGACTTTAACGTGGTGCGATGCTTTGTGTACCCCTGTGACCCATTGAGCTACGCTGGGTGGCACTTTCAAGTGCCTTCAGATGCACTCATACCAGACAGATCAATGGTTAGGGGTCAGACTAACTCAGTCTCACAACCGCCTCACCGCCTTGTAGGCAGGCTATTTAGCCAAAAGCTCGGGATGGAGTCCTCTAAGACAACTCCCTACTTCGGCTTGGGCAACTGGGTAGTATCAAGCCCAATAACAAAACCATGGACTGTTCAACTGCAATATCGCTCTCAGATGCTTTGTTCCTGTTAGTCACTCACGTTCACACACCACCTGTTCATTAGTTACCAATCAGTATTAACCGTTACCAAATGATTCTTGTTTCCCTGATTCTACTCCGGATGGTTTCGTCGACACCCAGAGAGGTCGCCAAATTCGCACTCCTTCGGCCTCAGTGTTCGTTTCATCAAGCATGTTTCAATGTACGTACACTTATGCAGATCGGGCAGCAAGCTGGTCTTGCGCGCACCCTGGAATCCCTAGCCATCGATGTTTGCTGCCTTTGCGAAATGCGCTTACAAGATCCCAGTATTGTGATTGAGTTGAGATCTCCCACCGACCACGGATCCATATTTCACCTACCTCTACCTGATGACGCAGAAGCAGCTGCGGCAGGCTTGGCTGGCTTTGGTGTAGCGCTAAGTAGCAAAGCCGAGGCAGCACTGGTTGACTGGTTCCCGATTAATAGCCGACAGTATGCAGTTCGGCTCTGGGGATCATGAAAGATAAACCGATGTCGTGAGAAGAGACGCAAATTGTTTGTGATCGCAGCTTATGCTTCAAATGACTGCAGTTCCGACTCCATCAAGGACGATTTCTACCGTGAACTTCACCGACATTGTTGTTCTTGCTGAGGATCTCAACGCACGGATCAGTCGTCTGCTGGCATGCGAAAGTCGCCTCGGTAGTCACCTTGCGCTCGATGAGAACCGTTCAGATGATGGAGAGAGACTTCCACACTATGCGAGGGGAGTCATCTTTTTCTCTCGAGCACCAACTTTCGACATTCGAGGCGACGTTCCGCTATTTGGCGACCCACTTCTGCGTCTCAATCATAGTCTGACAGGTAGTGTAAAAGATTGTAGATTTATCTTGTCCAATTTTCTTGACTCGGACCATGCTCTAGTCTGTGCGAACATCTGCATGAGTTTCGGAGCGTCTCCGAAAATGAAACGCTGTAAGATAGACACAAATAAACTATCTACTGTTTCGGTTCAGCAGAGTTATCAAGCTTCCCTAGCTGATGCACTCGGCTGCGACCCACCGCAAGATATTGATGAACACTAGGCGTGCATGCAGAGGACTATGATCTCTTCCGGACAGCATGTCTGCACCCTATGAACGCCTGGATCTCCACGCGCTCTTTGGATTTATTTGATCGCCGCAGGAATATTCTAGCGGAGTCTAAGCATGATGAAGTGCGCCGTTCGATCAGTCGGCAGCTCAAACAAAGCCTACGCAGTGACTATGAAACCTGGTGGTCCCCGCGTGCTCCGAAAATACAGGCCGTTGCCCTCTCTGGCAATAATCGCAAGCTCTTCCAGCTCCTTCGATCCACTGGACACAGAAAGTCTGGTGTCAGTGAGACTACATGCGAAGCGGATGGTTCGCCGATTGCCAATTTACAGAAACGCTTGGACCGATGGGCCGAACATTTTCATTCCCAATTCAATCTGCCCTCACCGTCCACTTATAACCCCTACGAACCCAGCTGCCCGCCCTGGGTCGTCACACTTGATCCACCCAGCAAAGCGGAAGTTTGTCTTGTGATTCGACACCTAAGACGATTCAAAGCTGCCGGTTCAGACGTACTTCCTCCGGAGCTGTTCAAATATGGAGGTTCAGTTATTATTAGCCAATTAACCACATTGTTCTCCAAAATCTGGCATGAAGAAAAGGTGCGTTCTTCCTCGGGCAAGTCAGTTATCGGCCCGGTTTTTAAGAAGGGTGCTCGCACTTCGTGTACCAACCACCGGGAGATTAGTCCCATTTCGGTTGCCTCCAAGATATTGGCATCCATGCTACACCGTAGACAATCACGCATTCGCGAATCGCAGTATCGGGAAGAACAAGCTGACTTCCGACCTGACCACGGGTGTGTGGGTCAAATATTCAAACTTCATCAAACCAGGGAACATCGCCACCTTTAACAAGTGGCCTACCACCGCTGCATTACTAAATATTTGTGCCGCATTCGACTCGGTTGATCGACCTACACTATGGCGTTGGTTACTAGGGAACGGTGTCCTAGAAAAGTACACTGCCATCCTACGCACACTACATTTCCACATCTCTGACAGATTGAGGGTGTATGGAAGGCTTTCGCCGTCTTTCGCTGTTATTAGCGGTGTACCACAAGTCTGCCCTATGTCCCCGTTCCTCTACACTTTCGCGATTAGAGACATCCTGTCGAGAGCTCTAGAAGGTTGCCAAAATTTTGGTATACAGCTATTGCCGGGCAACCGAACAACCGACTTAGTTTAGGTTAATGATATCGCTTAACTTGGTGAGAACACGCAGAGCATGTAAACCATTCTAGACCGGTTTGCGATTGAGGCATCTCGGTACGGAATATGCTTTGCCCCGTCAAAGTGTAAAGTGTTCCTTCAGGATTGGCACTCAACTGTTCCCGTGCTCGATATTGAGGTACACAGCTTGAACAAATGGATAGCTTTGTCTACCTTGGCAGCTGTGTGTCTACTGGTGGTACCATTATAAAGGAAGTTTCTCTTCGCATCGCCAAAGCTCGGTCGGCGTTTGTCAGCCTGCAGCACTTGTGGCATCGCCGGTATATCCCACTTGGTAAAGGGTCGTGTTTACAATGTCACCGCTCGGGTGGAGTTGCTATATGGAAGAAAGTCATGGCCAGTTCGCGTAGACGACATGCGCCAGCTCTCGGAATTCGACAACGGGTGCTTGAGGGGGATTTCTCGTGTGTGGCTGCAACAACACATTTGCAACAGTGAAGTCAGACGTGTCTTAGGGAATGCGAGTATTCCCTTCAGCAAGCTGGTTTTGCTGCGGCAGTTAAGATGGCCCGGTCATGTCCTGCCTATATCAGCTGAGCGTTTGCGCTATCGCGCTCTGTTAGCTCGTGCAGGACTCAACTGGAAGAAACCACGTGGTTATCCACCATCCAGCTGGCGATAGCAAATGAAATCATTGACTTCAAGTCTTGGCACCATTGGATCCACACGTCTACCTGGTTGGAGACCAAACGAGGAGGAGTTACCATGGCTGGAAACAATTCAGCATATGGCTGGTAATCGAAACCAATGTAGGATCTCTGTATATAACGGCTTAGATTTGGATACTTAATGCTTAACGAGTAAAAACGACAAAAAAGATTAAAAATGGCGAGTGAAAAGTAACAAAGAAGCTCCGTTTTTTCTATTGCTGCACAATAGCTAGAGTGTGTTGCTCACCTTCTGTTAATGGGCCGTGATGCTGGTACGGTGTTCAACCTGTCTTCTTTTAGCGTTTTCCATGGTTATGTTTGGTTCTATGTCTATTTGATAGACTGTAGACTATACTACTACTGCTTCGGTCACGCTACTAAGCCAGTATAACAAAATAACGCTCAAATGGTTGGCTGGTCAGCAGCTTACTTTTGTGGTCGTCGGTCTTTTGCAGTTTACCACCTCTCGCTTGTGAGCCAGTCTTCCTTTCCGATGAAGCGTTGTGCTTTTTGTGGGCGACGAATTCCCTGGTTGGCTCGATCGGTTCACAAATCGGAGCTGGTCGCTCTGTTTTGAATTTAGGGTTATCATTCAAATACTGCCTTTTCCAATCTAAAGTGTTCCGTTCCGCTCGGTCTCCATTTGGAAAAAGTAACTGAAATTACGGAAGATATGGAAAACAAAATACGTCGCTTGCCGTATCGACATGAGACAGGTTCACCTACAATGAACTTTCACAAGAGGACTTTACACAGAATGGCCATATATCGGGGACAATCAGCTGAAGTATCTATCTAGCTGGATGTCCATACTTATGTGCAGTTAAGATGATATTGCAGAATGACTGCAAATGAAGAAATATGAGACATAGTATAAAGTGCGGTCGATGCTACTGATTACCAAATCCTCATGGTCTAGACAAAACATGTTATTTCTACTTGATCAAGACAGACGCATGAAAAATGTTACACAAGACAAATTCGTCTGACAAGTGTACATAGGCGCCAATATGCAGAATAATTGGCCGGCTGTCTTATCAGTAAGAGAGAACCCCATGCCTGGTTTCAACTTCTTGGAAGATACATGGAACCGATCGAGCAGTCATGAGTTCAGAGAGGTTTGGGAACAATCGGTTTGGTATAGTAGTTTGGTAACGTTTCGCCTTTAACATAAAGGCTTCGTCAGACCAGGTGAATCAGTGTGCAATTGGTGTGGGATTTTATAGCGAGCAGGGGCGATAACCGCTTTACCCGAGTCTTGAGCCATGAGTCATTACAGGAACAGTTCGGGATGTCACCTCAGGTGGTTCGATCACAGTGGGAATAGTCCAGGTGTTCCTTTGTGCGTCATGACATTGACGGATAAGCCCATAGTGTTGACAATGGGAGTCGGTTTGCACTTTTCAATCTGATCCACGCATCGATGCTGGTCAAGCTGGTCGGCTTAAGACCGCCCGCCACGCCTTAGGAACTACTACCCCCTCCATTCTATTCACGCAGTCGTCAGATTTGGCAATTTCCACCGCCTCGGCAATCAACCGCTGAGTGGTTGATCGGATACCCTTCCTAATGACCTCTACGTTTTCGAGGTCTATCTGGTGACCCGGTGTTTTAGAAACACTAAACTGTTGCCACTAATGTGCCTTCAGCTAAATATTTCTCGGCACCAAACTGGTAACCCAGAGGGGAGAATCATCTTGTCCCTCAATAGCTTGGAGCTATAACAGTTGAGCACACGAACAACCAAGGGGGGCTAATGTTCTTGGAAATCTGGATCAAAATGATACTAACGCCTAAGGAAGGCTTGCAAAGTTCCCTTCACTGGGAACTGCTTGATACAATGCCTACCTCAATCAACGGAAAGGAACTCACACCTTTTTACCTGGACTTACCGCGTCTCCGTAGCCAGAGATAACTTCAAGATATTTTCTAACGCCATTCAGTTAGAAACAAGCGTAACCATTAATACTCTCAAATGGCAGCAAAAAATTTCAAGCTGAGCAGTTCCCTAAACTATACTTCATAGAACGCCAGTTATTATAAAGCAAAGCTACATCCTTAAAAAATACGATAATGTGCGTAGCTTATCTCATGCAACGAGGATACTCGCGAACTGCACCTTGGAACACAAAATCACCGGAAGTTAGCAAATAGTATCTACTTGGTGCGGGGTAGTCGTAAAATGGACATACTTGCGTAGCTAGGTCGAAAGCTCCCTGACACAGTGACTACAAGCGACAAGAACGCCAAAGACAGGAGGCGATGTTATGGGTAATGTAATGGGTAACAATCTATTAATCGCTGAAATAATGGCTTCTCCGGAAAATTCTTGCCTTCTCTCGGACACCTGCACTCCTGAGACACTGTCTGTGGTGTATAAGGGAAGCCTGGGATGGACTTGTAGCCTTCGAGACACTGTCCTGTATCCGACGCCTAGGCTGAAGTGTCTTAGAAGCGGGTGATGAGGTAGTTTGCCTAAATTCTTTGCTCGACTAAAGCAGTCGCACACGGCTGTCTTGGTAAGTTGAAGCTTTCCACCAACAAGTCAAATGAGAGACAGGCAAGCTATGCATCTTCTGGTTGGCACAGTGTTGATCGTAGCTGGACTGCATGGCGGACCCAGATCGGCATCAGCATGAACACGTCATAAATGATACTCCCGCCATCGTGTTTTCGTCGTGCCGCGCGTTCACTTTGCATGGACTTCTCAAGAGTCCCGTACTAGTACTGTCTGTCTGGACAAGAACGATCGTTAGTTTGCTCCATGTCACCAGTTGAAATCAGTTTCGATTCTGCTGTTCATTTCACCAACAAAAGGCTCTGTTAGATCTTCCAAATTTCTTCGATATTCCGAATCAAACACTCAAAATGCTCTGCAATACTTCTAGCCCAGCCGGAGAAAAATCATAAACTGAACAATGTTGATCGAGAAGAATGTGTTAACCAAACGCCGACAAAACGCTGTGCAACTGTCGCAACACTTCCCCAAATTTATAGGTCATTCAATGGTCTTCGGCTACTAGAATACGAAGGTCAACTGGTAAAAGTGGTAGCTTCATTATCAACCCTCCGCATGTCAGTGGTCAAATGAAGGATGGTATGGATCCGAAAATTTCGAAATTAATGCACAAGCGACGTTAATCGATTAATTCCTGTAATAATTGGTTTTTCTAGATATTTTTTACCTTCTTCCAGATACCTTCATCCTAAGAAGGCTGGCGCAATGTATGGTGATAAGCTGCGGTTGACTTGAAGCCTCCTGGATAGTGTTTTATGCCTGTCGGTTCATCACCTTCGCTGGAGTGCCCTGAAATCGGGTTCGGTGTTTCGCGATCTGATATCATTCCTCTGCTGACAGTGTTCTTCCACGGGCTCTTTAGGCAAGTTGAAACTGCCTGCCAGCAGGTCAAATAAGAGCTAAACAGATTTAGTTGCTTCTGGTTGACACAGCACTGATCGCATCTTGTTTGTATGGCATACCCAGACCTACGTTACAACCAGCACGTCGTAAATGACGTTCTTGCGCCTGCATTCGATCTTGTCTGGCGTGAATTTTGCGTGTCTTTCCCAGTAATCACGTAGAAGTACTGACTATCCTCGTTTAAACGACCGTTGCTTCACACGATACCGCTGATTGAAATCAAATTCTATATTAAAATTCCTTTCACCAGCTGTGGGCTCTGACGACGGTCGAATTGCATCAAAGGGTACTTGGAGCTTTCTGTTAATCATTGCCTCTGCTGCTGATGCTTCATCCGGCGATGGTGATTCTGTGTGGATCGGTGCAGAAGGAGAAACTGGTCGATCACCTCCTCTGTATTTCCCTCCCTCATTGATTTGAAGAGAGAGCGCTTGAAGGTATCCACAAATTTCTCCGCTTGGCCGTTCGATTGTGAGTGGAATGGTGAAGGTCACACTTGTTTGATGGCACAGCGTTTGCGAAATTCCATAAATGTGACCGAAGTGAAATGTGTTCCGTTGTCCGTCACCAATGTTTCAGGGAAGCCGTACCTGCTGAAGATGTGTCGCGACCATGAGACCGATGCGCTGATTGTCGTGCTGCTCATGAGGAACACTTCGGGTCATTTGTTCTAAGCGTTGACTACAATGAGGAATTGCTGGCGGTTGATTGGGTCTGTAAAGTTGACATGCTCCAAGGTTTCGTTGGTTTTGGCTAAGAATAGAGTTCGGACTTCGTTGGTGTGCTTGAAGCGGAAGTACAGTTGATGCAATTTATGGATAGCTTTTCCAGCCGTCTGTCCATAAACGGCCAATACACGTAACTTCGGGCAAGCGCTTTCATTTAGTTAAACCCTAGATGTTCAGCATGGAACTGCCGTAACACCATCTTTTGCAAAGTCTACGAAATAACTATTCTCTCAGAAAACATGATGCAATTGTTCACAATCGAGAGCGTATGTCTACGCTGATAAAACTGCTACATTTTGACAGAGGAACATGAACGTGGTCAGTTAGTTCTGTGGAAGTATACAACTTCCTTTAGGATTCTATCTCGAAGTCTTTCTGCCAGCAGAGCTTCTCTCTTAACTGGCATACTCTGTAATGCCTTGTTCACTAGGAGTTTGACATCGAATTCGATCTAAGCTGAGGATATGGCTGTGTCCGCATGTTCTTGCTGATAGGCATTAAGGAGGCGTGACAACACATCTGCATGGCAATAGAAACCGTTGATTGATAAAGGATCTCACTATCATAGCCCAGTAAGGTGAGGGCCAATTGTTGGAGTCGATTGGTTGTGTAGGCAGCGATGCCCATTTTTGAGCCGAATATTGCGAGCAACGGCTTGTGCTCCGTCACGAACTTGAAGCAGCGACCATACAGCAGCTTGTGGAATTTCTTCACAGCAAACGCCATGGACAATGCCTGCTTCTCGATCTGACTGTAGTTTCTTTCGGCTTTCGTCAGCACCCTAGCGGCACGTGCGATCGCCTTCCGAGATTTATCTGGGAATGTATGTGCAACTACGGCACCGATCCCTAGATTGGCGTCTGTAACGAGGACCACTTTTCGGAACAGCTCAAAGTGAGTCCGAAGTAGGTTTGAAGTCAGCAATAACTTGACCCGCTCGAACGCAGTCTGGCATTTTGACGTCCAGTTCCAGGTTTGGCCTTTGCGCAGCAACCCGTTCTGCGGGGCACGCAGGCTATGCAATCCTGAAAGAAAAGCACGGTAATGACTTATCATGCCACAGCATGAACGCAGCGATTGCAGGTCCGCAGGCGGAGGGATCTTTTGAATAGTTCGGATATTTTCTGAATCAGAAAGATGACTGCGTTTTGCGAAAATGAATCCGAGGAACTTGATGGTTGGTGTAAAATAAGGTCCACTGGACTTCAAGGATTTGGAAACCATATGGGTGGATGCGTCCAAGCATTGCAGCGAGGCCTTCCAACAGTTTTTCTGCCGTCCAATACAGTAAAACGATATAATGCAGTATGCAGCGGGGCTCCAGAGACTCCTGCAAACCTGGTGTCCAGCAGTTGCTGTGACATGGCTGGAGCTGTTTTTACTCCAAAAGGGAGGTGGTTGTATCGGTAAAACCGCGATGAGTGTTGATGGTCAGCAATTCTCTCCAACTTTCATCAAAAGCGACCTGCAGGTAGGCATTGGACAAGTCGAGCTTGGAGAAACACTT